CCTTCAACTGTCCTAAAGCTGAGTGGAATGGTAGATGAAAGTAGTAATACTACCTAGCAATTATCAAAATCACTTTTGACAGGTGCACCACCCCTGCGAGGCAGGACAAAGGGTCAAGAATCAACCTAGGGCCCTCCTCCTGGGTGGGCGGCTCTTTACGGTGACATAGGGGGTTGGTGAGGCCACCGTGGGCCTATAGGAGGGGTTCATAGACACCGGAGTCCCCCGTGACCAAAGCGCGGTCTCAGGAATGGCCCCTGAAGTGAGGTGTCACCACCATGGCCCTGTAGGCCAATGGGAAGAGGTTGGAGGGGTTTGGCTGGAAAAGGGGTGGCCATAGGGCATCTTGACCCTTTGTCCCGCCTCACAGGGGTGGCTCACCTGTCAAAAGGGATTTTGATGAATGCTAGGTAGTATTACTACCGATGAATCCTGTCTTTTTGTGTCATGGTCTTTGGGGCAGGGCCATTCACCAAGCTTGAAGGCAACGGGCTAGAATAGGATCTACAAAGAAGGATGATGAGCGCTCACCTCTTCTCCAAAAGCTTGCTGCCATCTCCCACCTGAAGTGTTTGCCTCATCCACCTTATATTAAAGCCAACCTTGGTGGTGATTCATGCAGTGAAATTTATAAGCCAAGCCCTATGTCTGGACTGTATGTGAAATGCATATGGAAAGACAAGGTTGCACGCTTGGATTTTTGGAAGTGGGGTCAAGAAAGAAGTTTGTTAGTCTTCCATTATTCCCTCTCCTCCAGTTCTTTTCTGTTCCTCCATCTTTGTATTCCCTTCTAGCTCTCTTATTTTCATTCTTTTTTCTATCACTTTCCGGTTGTAAACTTGCAGCAAGAGACTTCTTAAATATTTCATGCCATGCCTTGTGATTTCAGGCATTCATGACTTATTTATTTTATCTGTAGACCAGCATGATTCTCCTCCAGGCACAGGAAACCCTAAGCATGCCTATCTCTCTAAAGTAACACAGTGTCACTAATATGATATCAGCTGCTGAAAATCATTGCGTTGAAAGCATTCCTTTAAGGAGCCATCCATGCTAAAATAAAAACTCCTGCTGCTTGCCTACTTAGAAACGTTAGTTCATCTTTACTGCAGGTCTCACTCTGTTCTTGGTTCTGAAATTAACTCAGTTTCATTAGCATCACGGAGGAATGTGGTTCTCTTAGACCAGTGGTTCTTAATGTTGGGTTACCCATGTGTTTTTGGACTGCAAAGTCCAGAAGCCTTCACCACCAGCTATGCTGGCTGGGGTTTCTGGGAGTTGAATCCCCTGGACTGCAAGGAGAACAAACCTATCAATTCTAAAGGAAATCAACCCTGAGTGCTCACTGGAAGGACAGATCCTGAAGCCGAGGCTCCAGTACTTTGGCCATCTCATGAGAAGAGAAGACTCCTTGGAAAAAACCTTGATGTTGGGAAAGTGTGAAGGCAAGAGGAGAAGGGGACGACCGAGGATGAGATGGCCTGACAGTGTCATCAAAGCGACCAACATGAATTTGACACAACTCTGGGAGGCAGTGGAAGATAGGAGGGCCTGGCGTGCTCTGGTCCATGGGGTCACGAAGAGTCGGACACGACTAAACGACTAAACAACGAACCAAGGTTAAGAACCACTGTCGTTAGACTATCACCCCCAGCAAAAAACTGAGGGGAAAAATAAAACCTTCCTTTCTCTCAGAATGTGATTTCTCTCAGATGCGAATTCTCTGTCCAAACGCCGCTGACGCCCTGTAAATCTCACTGAACATTTCGTAGGATTTATCTAAGGTTCTGGGGTTATTTATCCGGAAAATGATGCCATATTGCACACGGTTGTTACAACTCCTGTATAGAATGTCATATGCCCCCAATAGGATTCTCCAGAAGGGTTATTGAGCCCCATATTAGTCCCCACAGTCAATGACAGGTGGAGAAAAGCAGATAAAGGGAAAATAAAGCCAATGTCTTGTTTTCACTAGACGCTAAGGAATCTCAGTGGTTTAGGAAGACCTCAGCAAGGAGTTCCATAATGGCAAGCCTTAGAAAACAGCAAAGGACAAGGAATTATGGGAGAAATTGTCACATTCATAGGGAAAAGCATCCCATGCAGTCAGTCAGTAGATAAAGAGAAAAGTGGAAAAGTTGTTCCTTCTCCATGAGAAGGCATATGCTGGGCAGACACATCTAAGTGGGCATACTTTCTTTGGCACAAGTCTTGTAAAAGAGTGGCGTAAGGATCATATTCACCTCTAAACTGTTAGATAATCTTAGAACTGCAGAGCTAGATGCGACCCTATGCGTCGTCGAGTCCAGCCACTGCCTTGGAGGCACATTCCTGGACAACAACAAGATGCTTCATGGGGCTAATGGGTCCTGCAGTGCAGCGATCGGAAGAAGGCTCAAGGGCCATCCAATGGATCTAGAAAGAGATTGGTCCGTCAGGTGGAAAGGAATATATTAATTGGCTGTTAATTGGCTTCTTTCCCATTGACACTGGCGGCGGCCACCCAGCATCGAGCGTGGATGGTTTGGCCCCAGAGGTTTGAGACTGCTCCCATCCCCACATTCAGTGAATACATGGGAAAAAGTGGGCAAGCCATTCCCCATGGTGTCTGAGATGAGCTGCATGCGGGCGATTGCCTGAAGGTGGTGGATCAGTCATCTGTGCTGCCTTGCGTTGCCCAAGTAACTCTGACGCTAAAAGCTTGTGTTGGTAAGCCCGCATGAGCTGTAACCATGGAGACCTTATCCCTGTAATTTGCAACAACGTGCTTTAGGCACTTGTTCCTTAGCAGCACGGAGGTATGGCAGACAGGGAGAAGGATTAGGGAGCCGTGGGGAGATATTACCTTCCTCAGCATTCTGACCAGTGCTGATCCTGGCGCCGCCTTAAACGTATCAACCAGAGGTGCCCAAATGGTGTTACTGGAAGAGGCTACCCACTGTTTTTCAGGATTAGTGGAACATGTCAGTAGAGTTGGTGCCTAACCATAAAAGGCAGGCAAAATGCTCCTGATATCTGGCCAGTGTATATATGTCAACCTGCATTCACACATGTGCTTATGTGAAAAGCCAGTGTGAAATATTGCTAGTTTTAAATAAACTGGAGCTTACAAGTTGCATTGTCAGGTCAATGACTGTTAGTGCCAATTCCCTTATTATTATTTCTCGGTGCAATCAGCCTCCAAATCACAAACCAATACTTTCCATTACAGCAGAAACAGCTTGCAACAATATATTGGTTTCAGGAAAATCTATTCCTCGCGTGGCTACTGAGAGGATTGCATCTAAGCTCACTGGGAAGCCTGATGGGGGATAGCAGACAATGTCACAGCCTATGCTACTCAGAAAGTCCTGGGGCTTCAATCCTGCGATCTCTGGTTGTGCTACGCCGTTGCTTGCACTGACACTAGTCAGCCTTCACACTTCCCCGTCTGGGTCTCCTTAGAGCACCAAAATTGGGGTAGGTGCCTTTCACCTATGGATGTGGGATATTGTGCTCCTGGATCCATGATTCAGGAGGTCAGGAAATGGCTTGGTATTGCTGCACAATATTGTGCCCACATTGCTAGCAGAAAAAAAAGGATGCCAAGCTTCTCATAGCAAAAGCCAGCCTGAATGTTGGCAACAGTAATGACAGCAGTCAAGATGGTCTACAGGATACCCTCTTCTGCTCACGACCACTCAGACTGGTCGAAGAACAGCCATTTATTTATCTATTTAAAATATGTTTAACGCCACCTTTCTCCTTAAAGAAGGACCCAAGGTGGCTTGCATAATTAAAAGCACAATGTTAAAAGCCATAAAGAGTAAGTCATTCAAATATTAAAGAAGAATCAATAACATTATATTAAAAATATTTTGTTGCTTTGTGAGAAGCAGTTAACTGATGAAAAAAGGAGTCAGCTTCTGGGATTTTTCCTTGCTTGGTGTCTCACTGTGTAAGGTAGCAAGCAGTAGAGATACCTGCCATAACCTATGCAGACTGCTGTGATGTCATGGGGTGGACTGGTGTGATGTTATAGAGGCAAAGCAAGCAAGTGGCACCAGTACTAGGGCTCATGAAAAAAGAAGTCACGTGAGTGGCAGTGCTGATGCTCCACTTTCTGTCTTAGCTTGTTCGATCCAACGTCAATAGGACAGGAAATGAAGGGACACGACTAAACAGAGAGCCAGCGGGAACATAAACTTGGGCCCACCATGCTGTGTGAAGGAGGTCATGCAGACATCACATTAGCTCCCTGAGCCAAGCACCCTGGTATGGTATAAAATGGTGGGATTGTGTGCCCAGGCTTTAGAGATGTCTCATGCCCTAAAATCTGGCTTTCTCCTCTTCCAGTGCAATTCATCCTGAGATCTGACTCCCAGCTTGGAGACCTGGGGAACCATATCAGTCCCCTGAGACTTCAGCTGGCACCCTGAAACCTAGAACCCTAACATGGTATTGGTCGTATGGAAAGAGTAGACCATTGGTCTAGATGGGCGGGGTATAAATCTAATAAAAGAAATAAAGGAAAGAGCAAGTAGAGTTGCTTGCATCTTAGATTGAATCCATTTATCCATAATTATTATTACAGTCTTATGCTTTTATACTTGGAATGACACCTTATGTCAATGAATGTCATTTACATCTAAGTAGATGATGAATCGAACTCTAAAGTTAAAGTGCAGTGCTATACATGTTTACTCATACACCCCACTAAATGGGAAATGGGAAGTACACCTCCTATTGAAGTGTGGTTAGGATCGGTGCCATACTGCCCATCTTCTTGTTTGTTGTGGATCTCAACTGGGTTGTCCTTGAACCACCGATTCACTCTTTGCACCATTTTTTTCCCACCAGTTGCTAACATTTTGATATTCTAGCACACCGCCGCTGAGCTACAATCTACAGTTGTTGTCTCATCTTGCATGCGAGACACAGGCACGTTTAAAAGTGAACTGTCCGAGTGTTATTCTTTGCCTCATAATGAAGACCTAAATTGAGCGTTTGGTACCTTGCAGGTGAAGGAAGCAATGCAAAGAATCCATGACAGAGGCAATATAGGGAAATTAATTCTGGATGTGGAGAAGACGCCCACTCCGTTGGTGAGTAGAAAGAACTGGAAAACCTCTTAAAATCCAACATGGTTTGAATCTACCTACTTAAGGGAGTTTCTCTCTAGCTGTAATCAGAAAATGAGAGTTTGATGTCTAGAGAAGCCCTTCTCAACATTTCCACCACCACCCCCCCAACATAGCCATAAACACACTATGAAAGAAATATAGCTGGATCTGGATTGTATAAATCACATAACAAAACTTATAAGGTGGTGTGTGAAGAATTGTTTCCAGTCTGTGGTGCCCTTCCAAGGTGCCAGGGGCCTCCAGGGGCTACCCAAAGACCCCCACTGAGAAGGGCTGTTCTAGACCAATGACTTAGAATGGTCGTGGCCAGGAGCAGATTCTTGACCCAAACCCTAAAGATGCACACCCAGTTTTGGGCCTAGTTTCAAGTCCCTCTACAAGCAATCAGTTAATTATAGCTAGGTGGGGATGGAGAGGAAAAAAAGAAGAGGGGGAGAGACCCAGCGACCACCATACATCTCTTGATAGATTATCTCAGCGGAATATAACCCTTGATAGTTTTTTCTCCATGTGCCCTGGAGGGGAAATATGATCTTTGGAAAAAAAAACCTGGGGAAATGGTTCTTTGCTCCTTTCTAGATTATGATTTAGTTTGCTTAGCGAGATTGCCTTCATTTGCTTTGCAGAAGAAGTACACAAACCTTTTCCTTGTTGTTCCGACCTGCTTTTGATTCATTCTGTTGCCAGTTCCCTATATGCATGTTTGTGCACGAGTGTGTGATAGAGAGGGAGAATTTCAGCATTTTAACTAGAGCACAAGTGAGCACCTTATGTCTGTCAACATGCCATTAGTCTAAAACCTCCACCATCTCTCACTATGAAACTATGCTGGCTCATACGGGAGTTGCAGTACAGCAACCTTAGGAAGGCTGTAAGCTGCCTACCTCTGGCATAATAGAGTTGTTGCTTTTTTACTGTCCATTGTAAACCTCAAAGAATGTTTGGGACAAATAGTGTGCAATAATCTATTCAATAAATTACATATTTTTAAAACAATTTGGAAATAGTTTTAAGTTAATGAAAAGAGAATAAGCATATGGGAAAAAATGTTTCTCTCCCATACAATGGAATTCTGATTTTCCAGATCAACACAGACTCCTTGGGACTCTCTGCATATATTCCTGAGTGTACACCAAGATTTTTCTCAGTGTTTCATGGGTATCTTTCAAAGGCGACTGAGTTTACTCTTCCGTTTTCTAACAGATGCCCTGTTCAGGTTTTTGTTTCCTTAGTTACTATAGAAAAGCTATACGTTTGGCCATTGTGAGAAAGAGTTTGCTACATTTGATGGACCTTTGACTAGTCACACAGGGTTATATTTGGGTCTGGTGGGTGGATGGGTGGGTGGGTGGATGGGTGGGAGGGAAGGAAGGAAGGAAGGAAGGAAGAAAGGAAGAAAGGAAGAAAGGAAGAAAGATCTGTAAGACAAATGTATGGATTTTTGTTGTAGGCAACAGCCTAGCATCACAGCAGGAAATATGTTTGGGGGCAAAATGTATTCAGAGCTTCCCACTGCCTTTCCATGCAATGGTTATCCAGATAAGGGCTTTATTCTGTTTGCCCCGAGCCTAGTCTTGAGATAAGACACTTAATTAGTCCCATGGCACCACTATAGATGAGTTCAGCATGTCTGTATACTTGTTTTAGCAAAATGTAACATTCCATCCTCTAGTTAAACCAGATCAGACTGTAGACCATTTAGGGCATGACTGGAAGGTGATCTTTTGGATTTTAGACAAAATTGGTTGTTTGTCCCATCTGGATATTCTGAGGTTTGCATCTGGGACCTTATGCCACTAATCCCCAACCTTAAGCCCCCTTTTTACAGTGTTCTGTTTCAAACACAGATGGCCAATGACAGCACAGAAACCAGCGAAGCTGGAGAAGAGGAAGAAGACCATGAGGGGGATAATGAGAACAAAGAACGTATGCCATTCATCCAGCAATAGCTGTGGGTGACGGGAGTGAAAGCCGGAAGAAAGGAAAGAGCAGAAGAAGGGAAAACAACTGGGAAAATCCATTTTGTGCACCAGTGAACAAATGCTCTAGTACAGTGGTTGTTTTTTTTGTCTGCAGTCAGCTGAGCTCTAAGCTGTTGATCATTAATGTTTCGAACTCAAGTGCCATTCCCACCCAGTACCGTATTACGACATTCCGCCATGTGTCAACCAACCACTTTTCCTGTAATTGTCTGGTCAAGCTCTTTTCTAAAGCCTTATTAACATCCACATTAATTTGAGACGTAATCTCTCCTCACAGGCTTTTCAAAAGCAAGTGTTCTAGTTTAGCTAGTTTAAAAGGGCGAATCGGCCTTAAAAAAAGTAGCTACTTTGTTGGCTAGTGCAGAGAAATGATGATTAAGTGAGGTAGTCAAAAGTGTAACACCCATTATATTCCAGCAGGTGAGTTACTCGCTCCCCTAAACTCACTCCCCACAAACACTGGCATAAGGGAAGAAACATGCACAGATCTTTTGTTGTTGCACATTAGGTAGTGTGTGAACTGGGCACCTTGTGCATAGATCGAGGCATGAATATGTTTACCTCCTATAAGCATTCTTGCCTTTAAAATAGGGGCAAGGGAGACTTGGTAAGAATTAGGCTTCCATACATATAAATCTGTCCATTGGCCTCATGCTGTGCCATGTGTCAAAAAGGAGAAGATTTTTGCTCTCCAGATGTTCTGATCTATAATTCCCCTAATCATTTACCCTTGGCTATCTTATCTAGGGCTTTGGGGAGCTGAATTTCAAAAGATATTCCTATCCCCATCTTATGTACATGGAGGGGGGTAAACGTATACCACCCATTCCCTCTGCTACAAAAATTACTTCCTTGCAGTAGGTTGAAGTATAAGACAACCCAATATCAAGGGCATCTCCATGTACACAAAGACACAGATGTCTTCTTTTCTTCCCTAAAGGGTGAACCTAATGGAAATGATCTTCAAAAATGGATACATATATGGAATTGCCTACAAAACAGGCATAAATTGGTCTGTTCCAGTTTAGACAAGACCTCTGTGTGTTTACGTGTGATGTGAAGTATGCAGGAAACTTGGTCCTTCACCCATCTATCCCACCCTCATATGATACTTCGTCTAATAATCAATCAAGTCCCTCTTAATTTTCCAAGAAGAAAAGAAAACACATCATTTCTACTATGTTTGCTGTACAAGGAAACAGGCTTTAAAAAGACACGGAGGTGCACAGACAGATACAACTATGTGTACAGTAGTGGTCCAAACCCACTAATTAGTGGAAATTTAATTCCAACATGGTGCCAACAAATGTTTACAGTTGTCTAGTTTTAATTGCCTTATGAAGGACAACCTTCCTCCCCCTCCCCCAATCAGTTCACAATTGGAAAGCTCGTTGGCCACAAATGTTTTCTCTTGGTACTTGAAAAGCAAAAAGTTCATTTTCCTTGTGATTTAAAGTTGTCCAGTGGTGATCACCAGAGGAAGCCATTTGAAGAATGCTTCTTTGGTGATCCTGAATCCAAGCACTAAAACAGCAACTAACTAATTGATGTATGCCCTGAGCATTTCTTCTCTCAATACAAAGCCCTTCACCGCACACTGATCTAAATAAAAAAGTGTGTCAGACCTCAAGGGGAAAGGCCTTAGGCCACAGTGTCTTGCCTTTCTATTCTTGTGCGGTTCATCCCTGACTCTATAATTCTACAATCACATGCCTTACCAATTAAAAAGAATATTTTACCTGCCCAACTGAACCATTAAATTAAAATTATTTTTTTCCCCTCCAAAACATTGTAAAGTTGGGGGAAGGCAATCAATGGCTACTATTCCTGACAAGGTCAAACGTAGAGGACTTCAGATTAGATATGGGTCCAAACTGCTAATTTGGGTGATTTGGCCCGGTTTGTTTACCACCGCAACAGGCGTTCGAGGGTTCTGTGGCCCACCCGCTCTGGTGGGCGTCCATTCAGAGGCAGTGCCCAGAGGAGGTAGGAGAGGGAAACCACGGCTCTGCCTCCCTGTGGGTGCCTGCTGGAGGAGGCAGGGCGGAAAGTGTTGAACACCTCTAGCAGCAGTCAACAAACCTGGCTGAAGCACCGAACCATCTCTACTTCAGATTAGCACGGCATCTCATTATTAGCATTTCCATTCTGGTGTTTTTTCTAATTTTCCTATATCTGTATCCTTGGTATAACTGTGTTCTTGTAGTGATACAATTTGAAACTGGATGACAGATTGTTATATGGAGAGCCTACTAGAGTTTAGTTCAATTCTAAATCAGCAAAGCTATATGTATATATAAACAAAGTTTCAATGTGAAAAATGCCAAAAAGGGGGGGATGGGGAGCAGTCAGCCATTCGTCGTTAAATATTCCAAGGAGATACTAATTTCTGTGAACAAATCAGCGCAGTTTCATCATCTCCTTTCGTCCCATTCCTCCAGTAAAGTATAGACGTGCCATATTAGGCTGCACTTTATAGTCTGTTATCTGGCCAGAATTATTCTAATAGGAATCTCACAGCCACTGGGATTGCAGCCAATTTTTTTAGGAGAAATAGCCATTCAGTTTTAATGAGGTCTGCATAGAAAGAGAGGGAAGAAAAAAAAAACCCAGTATGTAATGGGCATTGCAATCATAAATGTGGCGGGATTGAGACCATAATGAAAGATCTGACATTTCTCAAAGCCCACCAGTAGATTTGCATTATAGTTTCCCTTCCTCTGAAGCCAAGGAGAGGGGAATAGCTTTGCCACCTCCAGTCTGGCCCAGGTTTGGAGTCCAAGGAAGGGAAACAATGGGTCTTTTAAGCAGTAAATCCCAAGCTACTTTGGAACCATTTTGCAGATAAATTTGAAGGGTTCTGCAGAGCTACGCATGGGTTCACTGGAAGTCTTGGCAGCAGATATGTCACCCCATTAATAGACCTACTCCCCCTCACAACAAAACAGTATTCCCTGCCTCTCCAGTTCCATGAGTGACCCACCTTCACTGATGTTACTACTACCCCATTCCCTTGTCTTCTTGCTCTTAGCCAATCCACTCAGGTGCTCAGAGTAAGGTAACCAGGAGTTGCTGCCTCCTCTATCTGAAGCTTGTAGGAGCCACCTTTCAAGATGAGTGGACCTCCTTCAGCTGCTTGTACTGCTGTGCCTTTGCAGAGTTTGGTCCTATTGACCCAAAGTTCCCAAACAAATTGTTATCTGGAAAACACATGTGGATCTCTATGTTTTGGGGAATATCCCTGTATGTTTTGGGGTGTATTCAGATCCAAAGGCCTAGGTACTCTTACCCAAATTAGTGTACAGTTTATTAGTCTACAGAGGACTAGGGCTCTTTAAAGAAATATAACTGCTTTGTCACTGAAGTTACCTGAATTAGAACAAGGAAGAACAGAGACAAATTTGGTGACTTTCTGCTCTTTTTAAAATCATCTAGGAGATCTCACCCAGACTTTTTTATATTAAAAAAAGAAAAAACTCAGTTGTTACAATACTCATGGATTCTGGTAGCAGACATCTAGCCCTTCTGCTATCTTTCTTCATTGGCGTTCTTCCCTGATGTATCCTTTTTCCAGCCTGCTACTCTCTCGTGTGCAGAAAGTAGGTGTGCACACTATTATGTCAGCCTGCTTTCAAATGCTTGCATTTGCAAGGAATGGCTGAAAACCGAGAAGTTCATTTGTGTGTGTGGGGGGGGTTGCCCCCTTTTTATTTTTGTTTTATAGGAACATTCTAAAATTCTCACATCATCAGGAGATGACATGATTTATTAAAAAAAAAACCCAGATGTTGCACAGACATATTCCATGTACCTAGGCAGAAGGTGTTTTGAGGCGTTAGCTTTTGAAAGTCTGGCTTTGAATCCCTGGGGATCAAGTGATGTTTGGGGGATGGTTTTAGGGTAGCTGGCTCTTCTTCCTCTTTTTCTATGATGCTCAACATCCTTAAAAACTTAGCAAGTAGGTACGCCATGGGAATAGCTGGACCTCTTGACCTTGACCTTTGTACATTGGTGAGAATTTGGTTTGTTTGCTTTATATAAAAATGTACCTACCTTCCCCCTTTCTTCATAAAAGGGATGGGAAGAACTTAAGAGTTTAAAAGAAAACTGTATGTGGAAGAAAGCAAAAAATGTTAGATTTAAATCACCCCGAAAAGTAGCCATGCAGTGTAACAATCGCACGACTTTTCTCCATGGTAGACAATCAGATAAACTCCCATTTCGACCCAGTGTAGATGGATCTTTGCTCTATTTAACATACAATGCTATTTTTATTTATTTTTATTTATGCAGCCTTCCAAACTGACGTTAACAATTCCAAAGGAACACACAAACACACATGGGACAGCTCCAAGAAGCAGAGTGGAAAACTTTGGTGTTGCCGCCTTCCGTCATTCTATCAGTGAACAAGACGGAACAGACACTCCCTTGTTTAAAAAAAAAAAGCTCTCTCTGTGTGTATGTCCATGCATGATGCATGCATGTGCACGCACACACACGCTTGTGTCAATGAGTCACACAAGTAGCTGTCTCATTTCCAGTTTTATAGTATTGCCATCTTATGTCACTGACAGGAAACAATGTGTGTTTGTGTGTGTTTGAGACTGTCTCCAACAATCACAAGGCCTACCATAACTAGAAAATATCACTTTGAAACTAGTCCAGAGTTTTAAGTCCATTGCATCGGATTTAAACTCTGGATTTGCTTCCTACATTAAGAATAGACGGTTTTCTTAATGAAACTAGGGTGTGTGGGGTTTTTTTGGACATGTAGGATGTGTGTGTTGGAATTTTTCCCACAGCTAAAAAAACATTACTATATGTGGAAAGCAAAGGAACTTTTTTTTGGACTTGTAGGATGCTTGTGTGTTGGAATTTTTCCAGCTAAAAAGACATTACTATATGTGGAAAGCAAAGGAACTATCTTACAGGCAGTCCTAGACACACACACACACAAACACCCAATGTATATGAGTGTCTTCTATATATCTGTACAACTTTATCATCATCTATTTAACATTATCTTTGATGGAACTATTCTTAAAAGAATATGGCCCCATCCCTAAGCATAAGGGTTGAGGAACATCTTTTTAAAGAAGTAGGAAAGACTTTGAAGAGAAGAGTTTGCAGTTAATTAAGCTTATTGCTCTGAGTGTAGGGAATGGAATCTCTCACTCCTGAATCTAACATTGTCACTGCGCCACTTTCAGTTTCTATCTAATTACAGTAATTGGCTCTGTTCTCTCAGCAAAAAATAAAACCATTTCCTGGTTTTGGAATACAGAAGTGCTGAAGCCTCTCTTGAACGTCTCACCGAGTGAAGCGAGTGAAAACGTTTGATTTGTTATTTGTTGCTTTAGAGCTTTTGTTATATTGTGCCTACCAAGCAAATGATGTTTACATAAAATATAAATAAAATATTAAGCATAGCATTAACATTGTGACAGTGTGTGTGTGTTCTGTGCTGTCAAGTTGGAAGGGACTTATAATGACCCTTATACAGCTTCCAAGGTAAGTGAGATATTTGAGGATATATTTAAGTACCAAAATCGGGGGTACCCTGGGACACTGCAGCTTGCCCAAGGCTACACAGCCCAGTTCTTCATAAGAATGAAACATTTTGGGGCACAAATTAAAAAACACTATAAACTGCATTCTGCTCATCTGTCTCGGTCACCGAAGATGACGTCCAGACAAAACATTTCTCAGTGGATAAATCAACAGCCTATTCATTTCCTTCACATGTCGATGCAAATTGTATAGTTGGCTTAAATTTCCTATTGTCAACTGAAGAAGCCGTTAACAAGCAATGCTTTAATTTGAAGGAATCGGAACAGGCTCAAGCTTGAAAGGAGGCTATCAGGGCACATCTGACACGTACAGCTGCCAACGGAGAAAAGAGTGCCCAGCCCATTCCAGTTACAGAAGCCAACTTAAAAAAACAGGAGGACCTACCTTCATCCCTGGTGGTTGAAAAGCACCCTTCACATCACCTGGGGTCTCCCTGCTAATGTAAAGTATGTAAGACAGGTTGCCTGGAATATCTAGCTGTGTCTTTTGTTAGAGTGGGGTAGTTGGGGAGGGGGTGCCTCCATGTCACCCAGCACTGTTGCCAAAATCAGACTCTTCACTTTGCCTTATCGTAGAGCTGGCTGTGCGGAATACAGAATAATTAGGAAAGCAACAGGAACCAACGCAGCAAAATTGGCTCCTTAGACATTCTTTTCTCTGTTGCTGAACCTCTCTCTCTCTTTTTTCCAACTCTTTGAGAGACCACATGGTGCCGTGATAAGAGTGTTGGACTGAGATTTAGGTTCCAGTTCTCCTCTAAGTCCCAGTTCTTGCTCACCCATGATGTTCACTAAGTGACTTTGAGCCTCTCATGATATTCCCACGATGCTGTATCCCAGATAAGAGGAAGTAGGACACGCAGGTGCTTCCGTACATTCCTGCCCCAGAGATGCTCTGATTACTTGTGCTGACATTGCATTAGTGGGCTCATTAGACAGGTTAAAGTCAAATCTGAGTAGAGAAGGATAAACCTCTAATCAGAGACTATGCCAGGAGACACAGGGATTGATCTGTGCAGAAGGCAGACCTCTTTTCTGTCCTCCCTTCAAAGATCATGCTAATCAATTCACAGAGCAGCCTCAGGATAACACAGCTCCTTTCATCTGTTGCCCACATAAAGTACATCTGGATGAAACACTGCTTCTCCCAGTCATTCTCAAAGGAATATAGACATTATGCAGAAGTCAAATGGTAACATTTGCAGTATCTGTTTCCACTGATTCAGTCTATGGACATACGCATTTGGTCTACCCCTGTGATAGATCAGGGTTTTTTTTAATTAAAAAGTGAGGGGGAAAGCCATTAAGGTACATTTTTTCAAGTATCTTAACACATCTGGATTAAATCCGCTTTAGGAACCAATTAGGGTCAATTTGCTGAATCAATAGAATTTACATGAGCCTTGATTTAATAAATCTCATTCATTCAAAGGCCAACATCTTTCTAAAACAGTTATATGAAGGAATAGAAGAGAAATTGATGAAACGTTCAGATAAGCTAAAACTGGGACGGGCAGCTAATGTTTCAAAAAATATTGACAGGATTCAAGATGTGACACCAACGGATTGGTGAACAGGGCTAAAAAAGTTAATGATTTCAAGATGCTCAAATGTAAATACAGTATCTACATTTAAGCAAGACAAATCAGATATGTAAATAGAGGAAAGGTGGTACTTAGTTTCAAAGCATGAGAAAAGATCTCGGGGTTTTAGTTGACTACAAGCTGAATATTAATTAAGACTGATGGGAAGGAAGGAAGGAAG